GTTAAGATACACTCACCTGGGAGATGAATGTATTTCAGGTTTTGAGTTCATTTACTAATCACAAAAGTTTAAGGCTTCCCTTATGATTTTTGCTTTGAGAAATTTGAGGATGAGTGATCTGTTGTTTATAGTGTGCTCTGCACTCAGGCTGTAGATGCTGAAGCTCTGAGAAGATGTAGAATTCAGTTCAAGTGGACATGGTAGGTGACAGTGAATAAATACACACTTTCTTCTTGAGATAAGTGGGAGAAAGAAATAGAAAGCAAGGTAGGGTTTAGAGCAGGGCTGCTCACCCTCCTAACACTGGGACCCTTTAATGTTGGGGTGATCCCCAACCATAAAATGATTTTCATTGCCACTTCATAACTGTGATTTTGCTACTGTTAGGAATCGTAAATATTTTATACACCGGATATCTGATATGCGACCCTTGTAAAAGGGCCATTTGACACCCCCCTCCCCCAAAGGGGTCACTACCTACAGGTTGAGAACCACTGGATTAGAGACTACTAGGAGGGAAGCTTACTTTAGATAAGTAGCCCTCAATAGTATAGCCTTCACTGAAGAGAAGTGAGCAAAGGACATCCCAGACATGACTAAGAGCAGATGCAAGAGCTCTGAGGTTGGTGACATGCAGCAAGGCCAGTGTGACAGCTATGGATACTGGGGCGATTTTTGAGAAAGAAAAAACATCAGGTACTTGTAAGATTGTATTTTATTTTAAGCATGTCAGGAGATTACTGGAATTTAAAACTTTGTTTTGAAATAACATTAGACTTAGGTACATTTTTAAAAAACACAGAGTTCTCACACTGTACTTCCCATTGTGTTAACATATTACATGATCTTCATTAGAATTGCTTCTTTCAAGGTAGAGCGGTGTGTACCTTGAGATGTACACTATGCTGATGCTATGTGAAGATGTGTGAGCACACATGTCCAAAGACCAGTTAGGAACCACTGTAGTAGTCCAGTTGAGTGAGCGCTATGACAGTGGAAGAAGGTATCTCAGTATTTTCTTATTGAAATGTATCTGATGGTGGACTCTTACTAAGACACTGAACAGTTTTCCTGAGACTAGACTTCTTGTTTTTCTGGTTTTGGTTTTTTTTTGCATAGTTTTGAGACTAGAAGCTAGGCTGAAATTCTCAATCCTGCCTTAGCTTCCTGATTGCTGGAATTATAGATGTGTGTCCCTGTAAAACCCAACCTTCTCCTTTAAGAGCAATGATCTAGATCAGGAAAAAAAAATTATACACAGCATCTTCAGCAATAAAGAAGGTGATAACTATACTTAATTAAACTTAATTAAAACCTTTAGCCATGTTCCCTGTGTTAAAGATTAATTAGCCTTGCTAAGTGTTGGTTCCTTCAGTAATTTACTAATGTCTTTCTTAGAAAATAACGAAATGCTAAATTTCAATTCACATTTAATTTTGTCTGTCTGAAAAATGCTTTCTTGATTGAACTGAGATTAATCAGTAAGATATTCAGTGAAAAGATATGCAGTTTCCATGACTGATGTGCGCTCTATTTCAGATTTTACTTATTTTAATATTAAGAACAATGGCACCAACCCAGAAAACATAATGAAAGCATTATACGAATGTTTTGTTAAAATATTTTCATGTATCGCATGAATATGCTTTTAAATTGTTGAATACATGATTTTCAAATGGAACCTCTAATGTTCTATATTACAACATCAGTAATTATTGCCCATGTATATTTTAAATCATCTCTAACCTTGGACCTGGCATTAATGGTTTTTAGGTGTGTCATTCACTTTGAAAACCAAAATGTAGTTCTTTTCATTTTTTCCCCTTGTAGTTAAACCCTGAGAACTGAATTATTTGACACCTTTCATGCACAGTTTTATGAAGTTTATTTTCACTAAAATAGGAAACATAATTGTGACTCTTAGGTAGAAATCGTGTGATGTTTATAAAATACTAGGAATAATGCTGGACACCCAGTGCACACTCAGCAAATACTTGTTTATTCTGTATGCTATGAGTAGTGGTAGGATTAATTATACAAGTGTTAGTTTTTGCTTATTTGGAGTGGTGGTCTGGGGCCTCCTTTATTATTCTCCTAACATTTGATACATAGTTTCTAGGTATTAGCCACTATTCATTGTTGTCATGTGCCAGTTTATACAGTTGCCATGATTAAGTGTATGAATTAGTTTTCAAGTGGTAATGGTGTTAGACTTTGAGCTGCTAAGTCACTTATCCTTTTCTGTTTGCACAATTGGAGATGGACTTGTTTTTTTTTTTTTTTTTGTTTGTTTGTTTTGTTTTGTTTTTTGAGACAAGGGTTCTCTGTGTAGCTTTGGAGCCTGTATTGGAACTCGCTCTGTTGACCAGGCTGGCCTCAAACTCACAGAGATCTGCCTGCCTCTGTTCCCCACCCCCACCTCCCAGTGCTGGGATTAAAGGTGTGTGCCACCACTGTCCACCTTTGGAGATGGACTTTCTAAAAGCATTTCTTCGCAGATATGTCAGCTGGCAGTCTGCATTATGATCCGTCATTTAATACATTTGGATTGGATACTTATGTGTATGTAGTGTGGTTGACTTGGAGTCTTGAACGCTGTCTCTCTTGCTGAGGATGACAGTGACGAGCTGGAAAGCAGCGATGACTCAGGAGGGGGGATGTTCAGTCAGGGGTGGTGTCTGGAAAATGGGCTTAGCATTTAAGATGAGTGCTTTAGGGCAGTGGGATTTGGATATAAATGGTGAGATTTTGATATCCCTGTAGGGAAACAGTTAGAAATCATGAACTATGCATAGAAAATAGCAAAGTTTGTTTACTGTGTCATCTATGGATGTAGGGAAGATTAAGTCTGGAAAGTAAAGGGCCCAGATTGTAGAGAGCATTAAGAACTTACTTACTCAGAATTTCTCATGTAGTCACTAGAGCTGATACAGAGCCTATTAATACATGCTTTGGGAAAATTAAAGGAGAAATTAGACTAAAGGGGTTCTGTTATTGATCAGGGAAATGGCAGTGAGACTAGACACATTTGAGAAGAAAGTGAGATTTCTGATCTTGACTGTTATTAAGTAGATATTTAACTTTGCTAAATTTGTTTGGAATTTGTAGGTAGTTCGTGTAATTTTATGAAAATTAGTAATGTGATTTTATGAAAATTACATTCTTGATACATGATATGAAGGTTTGTGTAAAAGATTATTAAGATTTGTAAGAGTATGATGTGCCATTAACTGGAAATTAGGATATTGAGGTGGAAAAGAAGGCACTGTTAATATGTAAATTGGGATGAAGAAGTCCCATAGCAATCATATGCTCTTCATATCTTCTTGTTTGTGTTTTACTTTTTGAGGTAGGGTTTCTCTACATAGCCCTCACTGTCCTGGAACTCACTATATAGATCAGGCTGGCCTGAAACTCAAAGAGATCCACCTATCTCTGCCTCTGACTGCTGGGGTTAAAGGTGTAAACTACCACACCTGGCTTTTTCATATCTGGTTTTTTTGAGCCTGCTTTTCTCTGTTGTACATTGGAACTCAAATTTATAGAACTGAAAAACCAGAAAAAGAATTATATCAGTCAAGAAGTGTTTAGTAAAGTTATTGAACAAGGTTAAGGTGTAATTGGAGGACAGGGGATCATTCTTAAGTAGTTATTCACCTGATAATGCTGGAGTAGTAGTGATTAAGAATACAGAGAAACATGAAATTGTTTTGAAACAGATATATTCTACAAATAGTTAACTACTCTCATAGAGGAAGCTGCACATAGAAGTTATACATCACTGCAGGTGCACAACTCTTGATTTATGGCGAGAAATGAGATTTTAGTTACTCATGTTTCCCAGGCATAATTCCTTCTTTAGATGTCTGTACATGGAGGTATCTAGGGTAATTTGCCACATGGCTTGCTGTTTTCAATCAGTTTTTCCAGAAGAATCTTTCCCTGATGTTGTAAACTTTCTGACTTATCATAATGGCTCAATATAGTTATGTATAGGCATTTCTCCCAATGCTCCCATGTAAGTATACATAACCTTATGAAGACCTCAAAATTGTATGGGCTCTTGGCATCATGTTGGATATTTTTAAATGCTTTTTTGTAGTTTTCTGACGTCCTGCATGCTTCTCAGACCTTTCATGTATATTTAGATCACCTGAGCTATGTTGTTTAAAAGGCAGATTCTTACTCAGCAGGCCTGAGGTGGACCAGGGATTCCACCTTTCTAATGAGGCCCTAACTGATAATCATTAGACAACACACAGAATATCCAGGCTTAATGATCCCTTGGAATCCTGGACACCCTGTTACATAAGACACCAAAAAGGACTAGTCTTTTAGAAATTATGGTAATAGTTGATTTAATAGGAAGTAGTACTTGTAAGTTCAGTAATTTAGCTGATTGGAATACTTGTTTTCACGTTTCCTTCTTTCATGTCTAAACTCTAGTCTTGCCTTTTTTTTTTTCATTTCCTTTTTGTTCTTGTGATTTTTGCTTTTGTTTAAAATATTATTGTGTTCTGTGGGTCTGATCAGGGAACCGTTACTGTATTTTATGTTTGTATCTACATTTTATTTTGCATGCGTAACGTGGCTTTGCCTGGATGTTCTTTTTGGTAAGTTCCAACTTTATCTAGCGTATTGTTTTTTGTAGTGTAAGCTGTAATGTTTTTCATCTTTTTTTCTCCCACTTCTAGTGAACATAATCATGATTTGTTTTTAATTTTTTCAAGAGTTCATCTGACGTATCTTCTCCTAACATTTTCCCGTTTTCTGTAGTAGTGCAGTTTGGTACTAACCCGCCTTGATCTGTGTTATGGCCTCTCACTGTCAGCTGCTGATCACATTAGCAGTTGCTCTCAGGTGATTAGGGTTGAAAAAGCCTAATCACTTAGAAGTCTAAAAGCTTGTGCTTCCATATAGCAACCATAAAAAAGACAGTGTACAGTGAAATTTGGTACTTCTATTCTCTCTGAAAATAAACTCTGCTTTTGTTTTTACAGCAACAGCTTGCACAACTACAGAAAGAAAAATCAGAGATTTTGAAAAATCTGGCGTTATATTACTTTACATTTGTAGATGTTATGGAATTTAAGGTATGTATTTTAATATGTAAACTTTAATATTACAGAAATTGATTTAGTATTTATTAATTGTATAAACTGCTTTGTCACTTATGTAAGAAAAAAGAATTCTTCCAGAACTAAAGTCTAAAGTATACTTTATACATTTGTGTTTTCTGAATTTAAAGTTATTTATTCGGGCCTTAAGATGTGGCTCAGCAGTAGAAGAAGTACTTGCTAAGCATGCAGAAACTCTGGCTTTAATCCTCAGCATTTCCCTCCAGAAGTCATACTGATAAAAGTTTAATTAAGCTTTCCTTTTCAGGACCATGTCTGTGACTTGCTGAATACTATTGATGTTTGCCAAGTCTTCTTTGATATTGTGAGTATCATTTTTGGGAAAACATCCTAATTTTCTCTTGTTTCCAAGACCTCAGGGAACCGATTACTTTTCTCTAAAGAAACGTTTTATAAGAGTATAAAGTTATAACATTGTTTATTTGACTTGCTGAATACCTTTTTTAAAAGTAAAATTGTTATCAGATATTTTTGTATGTTATTGAATATAAGTCTTAATTCATTTGTAAAATAGCTGTTAAATTTAGCATTTTATCTTAATGCACCCAACTATAAAAACTGGACAATATTTTTCTTGTAAAGTCATATTTGATAAGAGTTTTCCTTTGTATGGCATTTTGTAGATACAGGAGGTTGAGGTGAGAAATATACCCAATAACTTAGTAGTAAAAATATGAAAAGTTAAATACTCCTTCTTGCTTGGTGAGATTGGTACCAATGTTTGTTTGTTTCTTTTTCTCTCTTCCTCCCCCCCTCTTTCTTTCCGTTTTGTCATTTTCATTTATTACCAGCTTTAATACAATAGCCAAAGTCCTTTTTCTTCCTTCCATAAAATTATGTCACAGACAAAAAATTGTTACTTATAACTCTCAAATTTTACATGTTTAGAGAAAAAAATCAGAAATCCAGAAATGGGAATAAACAGAGCTATAGAAAAGTATGTAGATTTTTGTGAGTTTTAAGAGTTACAGGAGTTAAACTTTTTTTTTTTTCAGACTGTGAACTTTGATTTAACAAAGAACTACTTAGATTTGACTGTAACCTATACAACTTTAATGATATTGCTGTCCCGGATTGAAGAAAGGAAGGCAATCATTGGACTATACAACTATGCACATGAAATGACCCACGGAGCAAGGTAGGCAGACATTATACAGATGCTTCTAAAGTTTTTAATTGGATGGCTTATAACTCACTTGAATTTAATGTGTGTTATTTTAAGTGACCGAGAATACCCACGCCTTGGTCAAATGATTGTGGACTATGAAAACCCTTTAAAAAAGATGATGGAAGAATTTGTACCCCATAGCAAGGTAAGAGCTATTTTTTAGACGTGTAACAATAAATGTAAGGGATTGCTTAAGCTTGGGGAATTAAAGAGATAACTTAGTTTGGAGGTCAAGATTATAATGGTTTATGAATAACTTTTTATTTATCTGTGAGTTAGAAAGCTGATTCAGATTCACAATTGTGTGAAGACTCGAGAATGTATTGATTCATACGGTTATTAAATTGAATGTAGCATTTAGAGGTAGTAAGGGTGCAGTGTAGTATTCTAGGTCTGCCAGTATACTCCGAAATATTTTATGTCACTTAACCAACTTCCTTGTTTTTCACTTTTTTTTTTTTTTTTTTTTGGCTAAAAATAGTATTAAAATATTAGTCATCTCATGTGGTTGTTATAAAAATAATGAAAAAAATCACTTCATCAGAAAAAGTTTGGATACATAATATTGCATTAAGAATTTAGATTTGTTTGGCTGGAAGGTTGAACACTGAGTGTCCTAAGTGGACATGAACATGGTTGTGGTCATAGTATATTGGTGCTTGCAGATTACAGACAGTGGGAAACCAAAGGGACACCATTAGGAACAGTTCAGAAGAAGCTTGCTGCACGAGGGCTCAGGGACCCATGGGCTACTTTCCAAACAATGTCACCTTCATGAGCATGTTAATAAAAGGGTCCAAAGGGGATTTGCTGCACTTGTGGTAGCTATAAGGGCTGAATATTTCCTGAGTTCCCAGAATAAGAAGCATCACCGAAGACAGCACCTGGAATTATCTTGTGACTTCTCTCTTATAAAAATAAGATTTCCTCACTATAGCGTCCTTAGCTGTATGCTTATCCTTGAAAGAATATTAATATAGTTTAATAAAGTAAGGAAAAACTTAAAAAAAAAGAATTTAGATTTGAGGCTAGAGAGATGGCTCTGCAGCTAAGAGCTCAGGCTGCTCTTCCAGAGGACTCAGGTTTGATTCCCAGCACCCACATGGCAACTAACAACCACCTGTAACTCCAGTTCCAGGGAAAATGGCCTTTGCAGGCACTGCACACATGTAATACACAAATATAGATTTCAAAACCCATATACATACATCTCAGAAACATTTTAAAAGGTCTAGCTACATAATATTCCATCCTAAGATTTCATGTTAATATTAATATTCATAATATTTCATTCTGAGAGTTATAGTGTTGAATCAGTTTTAGCTGTATTATGGTGTCTTAGTCTATTGATGAGAAAAAGATGACAGGGACTTTATGGAAATATATGTAATGTCCTTTTTAAAGATACATTGAAAGTTACTTCTTAATGATATAAATTTGATGGGAAGAAATCTTGTCATGGTAACTGTCCTGCAGCAGGGTCTGTCATAGACCTACAAGCTTCCAGAAAACTTCACGTATCTCATCCAACTTCATCATTTATAGGTAGAGATTGAAGGTTGGGGAAGATGACCAATGAAAGCCCCTTGGCAGCAGTGCCAAAACCAGGACAAAGGCTCAGAGTATTTGAATCTTGGTTTACTGTTCTCTTTGTTAATTAACTGAACTTTTGGATAATACCATGTTTATATGATGCTATAATTTTTCTTGACATTCAGTTCTTATCAGCAATTTTTTCAGTGCTTTCTCTTATGAAAATTTGGAGATACTTTTCCAATTTAATTTCTTTTCCTGGCTATATTATGTAGGTTAATAATCTGAAAACCCCAGATTTAAAATATCCAGAGTCTAAAGCATTTTCCTTTTGAGCACTGACATGATATCACATATGGGAAGTTCTTCTGACCTCATGCTTGGGTTTTGGTGAGAATACAGGTCCACTAAAACTGTTATACAAAGCTGCTTTCAAGCTCTGTGTAAATGTATAAGACATATAAGTATATTTTGTGTTTGAAATCGGATATACATATATTCCAAAACTTAAAAACTCTGTATCAGTTCTGTTACCAATGTTCTAGTTAAGGGATATTCCGCCTATACCCATAAATTCACATATATTTTTTTAAGAAGAAATCTTGAACTTAATTAGGTTATTAATTTGAAAGAGTTTGAAACAGGCTAGTGGATGTCATCACTTTTGAAGTAACATTACCACTTTGGCTAGAAATGTCAAAATTCATTAAAACACTTAACATGCTGAGTCTGCTCCATAGCTGCTTTGGTTAGTACTTTTCCCTTACTACTGCTATCTTCTCCACTCCTTTCTTTTTTCTGTGAGTCTATTCTGGTTTTTCTCTAATCAGGTCTAGGCTTGTTTTTATTTGACTACCGCACACTTTTTTTCCCTCCTCTCCATTGAAGTCAGGATCCTTCTGGAAAGTTCTTTAGCCTTTGAAAGTTCTGTTAGGATTAAAAAAATAAATGTGTCAGGAAAGTATTGCCTGTTTGAGGAACTACAATGTGGTGGTTACAGCGAGCAATCTTTAGCATTTAGTAGATTATTACTAATTACCTAGGAAAATTATTCATTTGAGCTGGGTTAGTTATTTTGTAATGTTGATTTTTCTTATATTCCATGACACTTCCCAGTTTTGCAATTAATAGAATGTCTATCATGCATCTGCCATATATATATATATATATATATATATATATATATGTATAATTTAACTGTATAATTTAAAACAGTTAGCTACATCGGAATCTTGTGTTAGAATCTAAGTTAGAGATTTCTGGTTTCTTTTTGCAGAGGTTAAGCATACAACATTTTAATGGAGACCTGGATTCTCTTTCAACTAACAGTTCAACTAGATTAAAGAATACCTCTATACAGGGGTTTTAGGAAGAAAGGATGGATAGATAGCAGGGACAGTCACAGCACAAAGTAGGAAACAGCTTGTCATGGTGGGGCACACCTTTAATCCCAGCACTTGGGAAGAAAAAACAAGGGATCTCTGAGTTTGAAGCTGACCTGGTATACATAATGAGTTCCAGGTCAGCCAAGGCTACAGTGAGACCCTGTCTCAGAGAAAAGCAGAACAAGAACTAACAATAAAAAGCATGAAATGGGCTGGAGAGATGGCTCAGTAGTGAAGAGCTCATTGCTGCTCTTGTAGAGGACCAGAGTTCAGTTCCCAGTACCTTCATCAGGTAGCTTATTACAACAGACTGTAGCTCCAGCTCCAGAGGATCCAGCATCCTCTCTAGATTATATGTACCTCACATGGGTGCATGTATATACACACTAGACACACATACACATGAATAAAAAAACTTAAAGGTCAAGAAACATATGATGAGTAATTAAATACCTTTGTCAAGAAATGCATTAAGAGTATAGGGGTGGAGAGATAGCTTAGCATTTAGGAGCTCTTGCTCTTCTTCTAGTGGACCTGGTGTTGTGTGACAAAACTTTTTCTGTGGAGATGGAGTACGCAAGTCTACTTAGGAATGTGATCACGGAGTCCTTTTATTTTAGGAAGAATCATAGCTTAGACAAAAAGCATGAGAGTTCAGTGCTACTGTTTGATAGGTAGGTAGGTAGATATAGATATATAAATAAATAAGATTCCCAAGGTTGCCACACATTTTAACCTTTCAGTAAGTAACTTGTAGAGTTGGAGATATGGCTCAGTGGTTAAGAGCACTGGATACTCTTCTAGAGGACTCGGGTTCTAAAGGACCCAGGTTCAATCCCCAGCATTCATATGGCAGCTAAAAACCTGTATATAACTCCAGCCCCAGGTGATCGATCCCTGTACCCTTCTTGTAGATCTTCTGAACTCTACAAGGATCAGGCACATACATGATGGACACACATAGATGCAGTCAAACACCCATCTAGTAAAATAAAGAAATACTGTGGCTTTTTTTTTTTTTTTTTTTAAGAAAGTAACAGTGGTTTCCTGAGTAAAGTTGTTGCCCAGGAATGTAGACTGTAACTTTTGTAGAATTCAAAACAATGAAACAAATTTAGAAGAGACTTGAAACCCACTATAGGGAGCATGGTTGGAATCAGTTAGACAAGTATAGCCCTTGAGACAGAAGTCTAAATGGAAGAGAAGCAAACTGTTCTTCAGCTTATTTCCTGTTTTATCAGTCTCTTTCAGACGCGCTGATTTCTCTTCAGATGGTGTATCCTAGACGGAACCTTTCGGCAGAGCAGTGGAGAAACGCCCAATTGTTGAGTCTCATCAGTGCACCAAGTACAATGCTCAACCCTGCCCAGTCTGACACTGTACGTCCTTTTTACCTTTTAAATGCATAATCACTTATCATTTAAACATGTCATTGCAATGTTTTTCTAATTAACATTAGTCCATCTGGTTTATTGTAAAATGAGTATAAAAGTCACACAGCGTTTTAAAAAGCGTTCTTAGATCTCAGAAATTGAAGTTAATACAAATGACGGTTTTATTTGGGGCTGGTGAGATGGCTCAGTGAAGAGAAGCGCTTGCTGCCAAGCCTGACAGCCAGAGTTCGATTCCCAGACCTAGGGCATGGTGGAATGAGAGAGCCAACATAGGCGTGCGTGCCCACACAAATGACTGTCATTTTACAAAATTGTTTATAACATTGTATACAAATTAGAAGATGTAGACAAGTATAAAGAAAAAAAACAAACACATGTCATATCTTACCAATTAACAGAAAATCATTATTATAGTCTGCTATGTTTCTTTTCAACTCCCTGTTGGTATATGAACATGGATATTACTATTTCAGAGAATGCACACAAACCATTGGTTCACTTAGGAGGAGATGCAGAGGATCCAGGCACAGGAATCTCTTTTCACTTGACTAAAATAAATCATTTGGAAAAATGCAGACTCTTAAAGTGAACTTGAAAATTAGAAATTTATCATTTGCCAGAAGACAGTTTGGCATCAGTATAGTTCAGAGATGGCTGAGGGTGTGCAAATGTGAGACTACAGCTCTCGTTGTCCTCTGCTGGTTGTAAGTTTAAGTAATTATTCATTTTTACCCAGTGTCTCCAATTTCTTGTGGTATTTGAACCAAGAATTGGACAGAGAGAATTAGGAGGAAGAGAGGTGGAAAGAGACTAAGTAGGAAACTGCTTAAAGAATTTTTGTTAAGTGCAGGTGTATCTGTTCTCTTTTTAAGATGCCTTGTGAATATCTCTCCTTGGATGCAATGGAGAAATGGATTATCTGTAAGTAAAATGGGTTAGTTACGAGATTACCTCTTAGGTTTAAGCTTTAACAAGGAAATACCTGGTAACGTGCCTTCACTCTGTAGTGAACACCTCTGTGCTTTACCTCATTCGTTCCTCATGCTGACCCCATCGGATGTAGATAGTCATATAAATGAGAATCTAAAGATAGATCACAGAGCTCCTGAGTGACAGAGACCAGGGGAGAGCTAAGGCCAATGCTCAGAAGCTACATTGTCACTAGTAGCATTTTCAGTGTTAAACTGGTGCTTTTAGGAAGTTTTTTTTTTTGTTTTTTTTTTTTTAATGCCACATCTATTTAGTTAAGGTGTTTGGTTTTAATTAGCATGTGATAAATGACTTACTGTTTGGCAGTTTGATAGATTCACGAGAGATAAAATTACTAGTGTCTGGTCCTAGGCAGCTCAGAAACTGGAAAAATAGACATGATAAAGAATGAGAGTTAGTGTAGTATATAGTCACGTTCCTTCTTCCCACTGCTCACTGCCAGAGGGAATAGTTTTGAATAGCTTGTGCTTATTTCTTGATGTATTAACTGTCAACTTTTTATTACAATATTTCTCCAACTAAAGTGAAGGACCATTTTTCTTTAATAGTTCAGTAAAATAATGAATGAATTTCTTTTTAACAAAAACAAGTATTAGATATAAAAGTCCATAGTTTTGTTAGAGTTGGCATAATCTAGCAATTAGATATTATTAAGTTTGTACTTTAAAATTACTACAAATTTTGAAGTACTCAACCTATGTACAAAATCTCATTATAGAATGGTACTTCCGCCAGGCGGTGGTGGCGCATACCTTTAATCCCAGCACTTGGGAGGCAGAGCCAGGCCAATCTCTGTGTAGTTTGAGGCCAGCCTGGTCTACAGAGCGAGATCCAGGAAAGGCACCAAAACAACACAGAGAAAACCTGTCTTGGGAAAAAAACAAAAAAAAAGAATGGTACTTCCAATAACATTGACTTAAATATGAAAGAGAAATGTACTAGCACATACTACCTGTGCTTAGACATTTTAGTTAATTTTGTTACTTTTCAGATTTGTGATAGTAATATTTTTTCCTTGAAAGATAGTTTACATTTCTATGCCTTGTCTAGTAACTCGATTTTAAAGAAAGGTAAGGCGTTTGAAGTATTGCTTTTGCTTGATTATATAATGATTCTTAGTTTTTACTTTATGTATTTGGCTGTGATTGAAGAATTGGGTTGAATAATAAGATTGGCTGTATGGGCCGGGTGGTGGTGGCGCATGCCTTTAATCCAGCACTTGGGAGGCAGAGGCAGGGGGATCTTTGTGAGTTCAAGGCCAGCCTGGTCTATAGAGCAAGATCCAGGAAAGGTGCAAAGCTATACAGAGAAACCCTGTCTTGAAAAACCAAAAAAAAAAAAAAAAGATTGGCTGTATGGTAACCATACAGCTGTCTGGTTAGGATTTCTGTTGCTGTGATAAAACACCATGACTAAAAACAACTCGAGGAGGTTTATTTCAGATTACATGTCTTGATCACAGAGAAAATTCTTGGCAGGAATTCAAGGCAGGAGCCTGGAGGCAGGAGCGGATGCAGAGGCCATGGAGGGTGCTGCTTATTGGCTCATTCCTTTGGTTTGCTCAGCCTGCTTTTTTATTCACCCCAGGACCACTAGCCCAGGGTGGCTCCAGCAATGGGCTGCAGCCTCCACATCTATCACTAATTAAGAAAATAACCTACAGACTTCCTTACAGCTCCATTTTATGGAGACATTTTCTCACTTGAGGTTCCCGTGTCTTAGATGCCCCTTGTTTAAAATTACGCTAAGTAGCCAGCACTTTGGAATTCCATTTTAAAAAAATAGGAGTGACTATTGAGAAGGAAGAAAATTTCAACAAAAGTTGAAACTGTGCATATGTGACAAGGACCAAGTAAATGTTGAATGAACAATGAGGCTTCATGCCTTTGTATAGAGGGCTAGAGAGGGCATTTGTAAATATATATATATATATATATATATATATATAAAATTAAACTTTTGTGTAGGGTTTCCAGATTGGGCAACCAAAAGTAAAAGATATTTAGAACTCATATAAAGAGAGCAACTTAATACATGCAAAAATGTTGGACTTTAAGAGTTAATATTTGGGCCGGGCGGCGGTGGCGCACGCCTTTAATCCCAGCACTCGGGAGGCAGAGCCAGGCGGATCGCTGTGAGTTCGAGGCCAGCCTGGGCTACCAAGTGAGCTCCAGGAAAGGTGCAAAACTACGCAGAGAAACCCT